AGCATCCAGCGGGCGTCAACACATCCGCAGCGACATCTACTGGACTGGAAGTTGTATTACACTTTTTGGCTGATGTGTGCAGACCATTTATTTATTCCTTTTTTTTCATTCAGAATCAATTCCTGCCATCAAGAATCGATGCAGCAGATCACAAAAATTAGAATTGCGATGCATCGTCGTGACGATTATTTTGCACAGCCCTAGTACCCGCCTTCCATAATACGCTTTCAGCCGATCGTAGTAGCGTGTTTTCAAAACTAGTGGAGTTAGCTCATAAATTAAACTTTTTTCAAACCCTGTGAGAAAAGCACAAACATCTTCCCCATCTGCAAATGCACAAACTACTCGTCTTTGCTCCTCTTTAAATGAGAAATTGACGCTATTTTAGCTAAAACTGAGTCAATTGCTGTATCAACAGGTGAGTCCTCCAGCGTAGCGATGTTTTAATACCCCAGCAGGGCCGTTCTGACTGCCGCCATTCCTACCTGTCGCCCCAAAAAACACTGCTGGGATGTCATTGGTCCGACTCGCTGGTTGTTACACGTATTAGCGGGAGTCTTTCAAGATGGATTTGCTGTAAGACTGAAAACTCAGACCTAGTAACAATCCAGGTTTAGGGCAAGGTTACAGATTTCTGCTCCTTCTGACTAAATCCAAAGATTGTTGATTTGTTTCAGTTTAAAGCTTTTAAACATTGAGCTAGTTTCTGGATGGAAGAGGAATTTAATAGATCAGATGGATGAGGAAATCAATCAAACACCTGTGTGCCAAACTCATCTCCCAGGTTGGTAAACAGGTATTCGTATCCATAGGCAGCTTTACAGTTGAGCCAAACCACATGGTAGGAACTCTGGCTGATCCAGTTCCCAATGAGCTCTGAGATTCCTTTCAAGCAGACCTCCTAAAAACAGAGCGGCCAAAAATAAAAGTTAGAATGTGGAGCATCAGAGGGATGATAGATAAAGAGAACAAGACTCACCCTACTTGGGATCTGGTAGAAGCGCGGGTCGTAGAAAGTGGAGTCCAGATAAATACTCTGAATGTCTT